CTTGAGGTCATGGGGCTTCCCCTGACCTGGATTCTATCTCTCCGTCACCGGCAGAATCGCTGATTAATGCCTACAGTTCAAAATAGTCATTTTGACTGACCGGAGTCTATGGTGGGTATGAACTATGTGAATAGGCGGGTTCGGAGAACCCTCGCTTAATTTACATACTGTAAAATATGTTTTTTAGCTACTTTAGCTAATATTATCACTAGTTTAAAATAATGTATATTCTCACATTGAGATTTTAATACCTAAGCTAAATTAAGATTCTGTTAATTCATGTATTGCATCAAATTTGCTAAAATTGCATGTTTTATGGGTTATGGGTTTCACTATATTTTTACAAAATTCAATATTTGATTTTGTGTTATTGTTTACAATTGCTGGAAAGTTTTCTTGATATGTCTTTGCCTTTTCAGGAGTATTATAATTAATATGTAAATTATTTCAAACTAAAGAAAAATGATCCTGTCTCTTTAATTGTCTAGATGCATTATTGTATTTGTCACATGTTTTGTCACTTGATTAGATAGCACCAGATCCTGTCTACAGTGGTACACATAAGTACTTGGAACAAATGCTGCCACATCATGGAGTTGAAATATCATGGGTGACAGCAGGATGTCATGTTGATGAATATAGAAAACTTGTCAAGAAAAACACAAAGGTAATTCAATCCTACTCTCTATTTGTACCATGGCATGGGTGACTTTAATTCTTGATGGCTGGTACAAAAATGAGATTAAATCTAAAGCATTGATTATAGAGAGATAATCAGATTTATATACATGCAATTGTATTTTAATACCAGTTGGAGAGCGCCCTCTATGGCTGGCGCATTCTTGTTTAATTGTGCCTTAGAGGGGGGAAGCAACATTGATCCACCTCTTTTGAACTACACCGTCAACTTGCCGGCTTGCAGTTTGTTTCTTCTACAATTTTAGTCGTATTTTCGATAATTTTAAGGCAAGTTCTGGTTTACCTGGGGTTATCGTTCCGCCGTTGAGGTTTCAGGCATCCTTTCACACGTTTGTTTAAGTCATCATGAAGCCTAAAGTTTTAATTTTGGGTCATTCTTTTGTGGCGCGATTGAGTACGTCCATGTCAAGTGGACGCAACGCATGCGCTTTGCCGCTTTCGTTTAATTTGAGTAATTCGGCAGAAATAAAATTACATGGTGTCGGAGGGTGTACGGTGGAAAAGTTACGGCGTTTCGATTTACACGTCGTTCAGGATTTCAACCCAGACGTGGTTATTTTACAGTTGGGTACAGTTGATTTAGCATCACTTTCTGCATCCAATGTAGGGTCACGTTTAATTAACTTGGTGCGTCATTTGCATGATCGCATGAACGTCAAGGTCATTATTGTGTTACAGGTTTTCCCTCGTGTCACAGCAGCTCGGAGTAACTTTAACGAACGTGTGGCTCAGTTAAATAATATCTTAGAGGTGGAGTTTGACTCCTGTGTGCGAAGCACACAATGGAAGTCTTTGCAATCAGTCTGTTTGTATGTTTGTGTCCATCTGTTCCACTGATATCTCAAGAACCATAGGTTGGTTTTTGATGAAACTTGATGCATATATGCTCTGGGCTAATGCGCATATTTCATAATGTTTTGGTTTAAATACATGCATTACCTAAATTGCATGATAATAGCTTTGGAGTTAATGTGTGTCCATCTGTTCCACTGATATCTCAAGAACCATAAATTGGTTTTTGATGAAACTTAGTGCATGGATGCTCTGAACCTAAGGCCAAAAAAAACAAACTTATGTTGACCTCAAGTCGGGAAATTAAAAAATTGGGTCAGTCGGATTTTTTTTTTTTTTAAACTTAAGGTAGAGATGCAGTTTACCTGACAGGTATTTTAATTAGTTAATTAGGAAACCAAGATGACCTCCCTTGTCCACAAAACTATATATTTTCGGAAAGCTTATTGTATGAATTTTAAAGTTTTGTTTATTTGTTTAAAGCGAACCTAAATGTGGCCTTAATTTATGGTTGTGTATACTGTAAACTGTATTCGAAATAATATTACAGTGGTTTAAATTTGTTTTAATTATAACTGTAGCTTGGATAGGCATTTGAAGTGCTTGCAATTTAACACCATGGAGGCCATTCATGGAGGGGAATAAATAACGAACGAACATATTTAACATCCGGGTACTTTTCAAAGCTATGACGTTTTAGTATCTGATTGCATTCGTATACGCCATTGTACATAGCCGTTCATGCTGCCAAGCATTGTGTACTACTAGTATAAACTCAATTTTTATATGCACAATGTGCTTTTTAGAACTTGGGTTAGAGCATTATGTGTTTGAACCACAGTATTCTGAGAGTGGAAGCCCAATTGCATTAAAGTAACGTACTTCCATGATCGTAAGTCCCTCCCGAGTATGAAGCCCATCCCTCTATTTTTACTAGGTATTTATCGAGTTAAGGGCATTCGCGATTATAAGCCGAGAGTGTTTTTACTGGGCGTCGACGATATTCTCTAAAATATGCGTGTAAAAAGTGTGTTTCATTTCATAATAATCGTGATTGGCACGGTAGTGGTTCGTGCTTTTATGAGAAAACTCGCATTAATTTCAGAGTACATGGCGAACGTACACAACGTGGTTCGCATCCATTCTATTCTGTCATTTACTCAGAATGAACTCCGATGTTGCAATACTGGAGTAATCCATATTTCTTCGGGTAGTAGCTTTCGAAAAGACAAAAGTGTGATCGTTAAGTCGTGTACCTAGTTATTTGGCATGGTTTACTTTGAAGCTATCATGAAAGGCCTAAGGTTTGAGCGATGTGATATGATGTTGGCGATCGTGAAAGGTGTTTAAATTCTTCCTCCACACTCAGTTTACCCATGGTTACTTATTAACGGTCGTTTACTTTTCCGAAATTGCTAATCGCCAGTTTTGAGGGGAAAAAAAATCATCGTTTTTTTCGTTGCAATCAGTGCTACAGATCACATTTTAACATTGCGGTAATTCACTTCCGCATTGCGTTAAAAAATCAATCATCGTCAATAATCATTTTGATTGGTTAATGAAAGACATGACCTGTTAGGTCAAAGGAAGTTGTTTCAGGTCAAATCGTGCTGAAAAACCTCATGGTGGAAGATTGCTTTGCATCGAGTTTGCGTACGATCGAAAACATACCAAAACGAAGATAATGATAAATGCCTTTGACTGTTTCCCCACAGACCCTACCCATACCGAGACGGTATGTAAATCGTATTGTAATAAAATGTGTGGGTTTTTATGAACATGTTTGTTTCTTCATTGTAAGTGTCGTTAAAATCAATGACGCATTTTTTTTTCAAAAATAAGTATTATTTTCCCGAGCCCAGTGTGGTGAACGAACAATCTTTTTGGATAATTTTTCGTTGTTGGCAAGATGGTTACAGTGTTTAACCCCAAAACAAAATCATCTTTTCTGAGTTGGTCCTCGAGTAAAAGCTCATCCCTTACTTTTTCCTTACGTGTTCATGTGTTCATGCCTCCGGGCTGATGGTCAGGGAAGTACGGTATACTGTGAAGATTCAGATCAGTCAAGTGTGAGTGATGAGAGTATATCGACGACTATGCCCCTTGTTCGGATGATAGTTTTATTTCACGAAAATGTTTCCACCACCAACCTACGAACTCAAGATTGCATACTCCAGCATCCAGACTTTGAAATAATTTGCACGCACAGTGCAGTACTGGAAATAGCATTTATTAGACAGATGGACAAGAAAAATGCCTGTCTCGATCAATCGCACATCCATAATGTTTGTATGTTGATACGCTTGTAAATAACATTAACGTAAAAGTCGAAACAACCTAGACTAGAAGTCTTAGTCTCCCTAAGTTGTTTATATTTAATCAGATAATATTTAGTCATCATGCTTTGTTACCTTTCCTGTTTATACCTCATGAGGGCGTTTTTTTATGGCAAGATGGCGCAAACGGAAGTCCTTCGCAGGTTTATGGTTTCTCATATTTAAATCATCATAACTCTGAAGATAATCATTTTTTTTAATTTTTTTTTTCAAATTTATAATCAATATACATAATTTGATAAATACAAACACCAAATTAGGCTCTATTTAGTTCCTCTTT